TTCATCTTCTTGGGGGGACCTCAGCCATGGTGACATGTTGTGGCAGTGGCTACCCTCTAGCTCATCCAAAACCATCAGACCATTTTCTTGGGGTCAGTTCTTAGATGGTCTGCAGGGCTGCTGCCACTTGGAAAAGGGAAGCTTATTTGTCCCTTGTGGATTTCCACACCTTGATCCTTTCTGTGTATGCCCTTTCTCCTCTCCCACAGTCACCCCATCTGACTCATAGCTGCCAGAAACCCTTGCTGAGCACAAAGGGACACCAAGATCCCTGTGACAGTCCACAATCACTGGAGGCCCTTCTTGTAACAGCCTGGAAAAGGCTTCAGTGAGATTGCTGGTGACATCAGGAGGCTATTACGATTTCATGCACGGCTTGGTCCTCACCCAAGGAGAGGAATATATCTGGTTCTATCCCAAGTAGGGGTTTCTGTGGGGTGTATGTTGCCCCACTGTGGAAGGGCAGGGGGCTGATGGGCTGAGGACTGCTCTCCTTGGGACTTTTCTTTTGGGCCATTTTCCTTTCCAGAGACAAAGGCTGCTCCTGTGTCATGGGAAGTGCTGTTGGCCTTCTCATGCAGGTCATGTGCTCCAGGCATGGCCCCATCCTGTGGACCCTCTGCCAGAATAGCTCCCTGGTGTCCCTGCCTGTAGGCAATGGGGACTCCAAACTGGGGCTCAGTCTTCCCAGCACAGTCTCACTAGTGCTGAGCAGAGGAGAGGGCTCACCTCCCTCAACCTGCTGGCCATGTTCGAATGTCTTAGGAAACATTGAAATATTAGCTATAAACATGCTAACTTAGCTGCTTGATATTGTTGACTAAAGACTCATTCATATTATTTTGTCTGCAAGAGTGTATAAATTTGATTCATGTAATGTTTGATTATCCAGTTTTATTAAAAAGGATCATATGCTGAATTTGGACTCTGTGTTGGTTTCAAGAAACAACCACATAAAGATGGGGATTTTATCCTTTTTTTTTTAAAACCTAACCTTTCTGGTAAGAAGTTTTTTTGCTTCAGTTTCTCTTGCATCATGATTTCCCTTTGACTTTAGAAATTGAGCAGGATTTTTTTATATCTTCAAATTCAATTTTAGGCTTGAACAAAATCAGCTGTTGTCTGTACGGCAGCTGGGAAACAACTGTCTCTCTTTTCCTGTGTTAGCACTTACATGCAGTTGACTTGCAGCGTGTGAATGATTGGACCAAGCATACCAGTTATGTGAAAAAGAATTGTTTTCAGTGTTCTTTATCCTCTGTTCAGTGTTCCTGCAGACCCTGAGGCAGTCTAAAAATCTGAAACATTCCTACAAGAGGAAAAGAAAAACTGAAAGGTCCTTGTGTGCCCATAGATATTAGCATTCTTCAGTTTTCCTTGGTTCTAGTCATGGTTTGACTGTGCTGCATGAAGACTTTTGGTTCAGCCTACTCTCTGTCTGAGGTAAAAGTGTATTCTGGGTGTTTCCATACACAAGTAGTGCTTTGCAAGTGTTAAACCTGAATCTGTGTTGTAAGTAGCTTTGTCTTCAGTCTTGCACCAGTCCCTGTCTCTTGGACAGAGCTTGGACCTATGTTACAGCCATGTCCCTTGCTGTTCTTGCCTGGGCTTCTTGAACAGATGCTGGACCTGCCTCCCAACCTCACCTTGTGTGACAAATCATTGAAAGGCTGATGGAGCTGATTGCTCGCACCACCTCGGCCCTCCTTAGGTATTGCAAATTGCAAATCTGCATCCTGGTGAGTTAGGGGATGGCCTTGCCTGTGCTGTTGTCACCCTTGCTGCCTGACTTTAAAGGAGCAGCCTCACTCTCACTGCTCCCTGACATCTGTGTATATATAGAGAGATGTAAATATAGATATATATACTCTATAGTGTGTGTGTATATATAAAGTGCATCTGTGCATAAATAAGTAACATTATGCCTATTCGTATACTCCTTTATATTTATACATGTACTTATATTTATTTTCGATATTATATATTCCATATTATATATTTTTGTATTGGTGTATATATGTTTTGTATTGGTGCCCAGGGTGCAGGTGCCCAGGCACTGGCAGCGGTGACTGCAGGGCGGCCTCTGTGAGGAGGGGCTGGTGCTGCCCTGAGCCAGACACAGCCAGCGCCAGCAGACCCACCGCAGGGCACAGCTGACCCCAGCAGCCAAGACAGTGGTGTGCCTTGGAAAACTTATTTAAGGAAGGGCAAAAATACCACATAGGCAGAGAGGAGTGAGGAAAAAAAGTCTGAGAAACAGCCCTGCGAGCACCAAGGTGAGAGCAGGAGGAGGGGAAGGAGGTGTGCCAGTGCCAGAGCAGAGATTCCCCAGCAGCCCCTGGAGAGACCACGCTGGAGCAGGTTTATCCCAAAGGACTGCAGCCAGTGGAAGGGCCCATGATGGAGCAGGGGAACAGTGTGAGGAGGAGGAAGGAAGGGCAGAGACACAGTGTTATGGATGCAGTTTGACCGCAAACCCCCATTCCCCATCCCGCTGTGTCACTCGGGGTGCATGTGAGGGAGGAAGGCAGAGGAGCTGGGAATGAAGGAGAGGAGTTGAGACTGGGAAAGGAAGCAGAGGGAGATGTTTTAGTTTTCTTTGTTTCTCACTGTCCAAATCTATTTTAAGTGCCAATAATTTATCTTCCCTAAGGTACATCTGTTTTGCCCATGACAGTAATTGGTAAGTGATCTCCGTGTCTTTATCTTGACCCACAAGCCGTTTCATCTTATTTTCTCCCCTTGTCTTGTTGAGGAGGAGGAGTGAGAGAATGGTTGGGTGGGCATCTGGCAGCTGGCCAAAGTCAATCCACCACAATCTATAGTATATAGTCTATATATTGTGTGTAACTATATATATATAAACCTATGTATATGCAAAAATGTAGATATGTATTTTTATATTCTTGGTCCAAAGAAAATGAGCAGCCAATCAGAGGGTGGTCTGAGATCATGTGGGTATGATCGTTTCAAAAGAAATGGCAACCATCCAATCACGGAGAAGTACAAAACCATGTGGGGTATGATATAGTGGATGTCCATGTATATCACAGACAGGAGCATCCTGCTCTGGCGCCTTTCTGACATAGACAGGAAGGGGCAGCTGGTCCTATAAGCCAGTCACAGGGCAGTCTGTGAACAAGTGATGTATGATGTTTTACAAAATTGCAGCCCTCAGGGGCAGAAAGAGGCGAAAGGAACAGACGAGGTGTGGTCTGGAAGATGTGCAGGACTTTAGGGCAAGTGGGACCATGGTGGGCAGTAGGGGCAGGGCTTCCCCTGCCATTAGGGTGGTGGCACCTGACCTGCTTATGCAGGGTCAGCGTTGTCCTCATGCTGCTTTTGCCCTCTGCTAAACTCCCTGCAGCATGTCACCTCTGTGCTGTACCCTGGAGCCCCAACTGTGTGCACCACACAAGGTGTAGTCCTGCAAAAGGGAACCATCACTGCCCTTCGCAGGCTGGCAGTGCTACAGGGGATGCAGCTCAAGATATGGGCAGTCTTCATTCGATGTGGGTTTAGGCCTGCCCCATACCATGTCCAGGACTTGACATATGTTTATGTTGAGTTTTGTGAGATTCCTGTAGGCTTGTTCCTTACCCTGTCCAGGCAGCTCTAACCAGTGGCTCTGCCCTCAGGTTTATTGACTGAACCCCTCGTTTGGTGTCATGTGTGGACTCAATGAGGTGCATTTCATCTCCGCTTCTGGAACACTGGTAATAATGCTGACCAGGGCAAGTCCCCGGATAGAGTCCTAAGGAATTCATCTTGTCACCTGTTTCTAGGTTGAACATGATTTTTTTCCCTTCCTGGTAAACTCTTGCTCCTGTATTTTTCATGTAAATCCACCAAAAGCACACTAAGTGTAGTTAGTGTGCTTGTATCTGCTGAAATCTCGCAACACTACAGCCACCAGCACTGTTATTCTGTCATTTACTTTCAAGTTCTTGAACTAGCTTTGTCAGTAGTGTTTACTTCTTCAGAAGGGTTTCTCATTGGAAAATGTTTCATCACATGCAGGACTGCTAAGGTTTTAATTGCTGCTTTGGGAGCTTAGGAGTTTAGATACAGCCTCTTGGTATGGAATCAGAGGAAATGACAGCTCGACAAGCTGGTGCACAAGAGGGAATGTTTCTGGCTGTTAGTGGAAGAAATTTCAGTTTCCTTATTTTTCTCTTGTTTCCTGCATGATCTTAAGAGATGGTGAAAACTGTAATGCAAACATATCAGAGGTCTGTCTTTCTGGTCTGTCCATCAGAGTTCTTCATACATCATTTATTTTCACCAGTTGTTTAAGAGTTTAACATGTTACCAGGGGTGGAAAGATGGCTGAGACATTGTACGCATCAAAGTAATAGGTATTCTGCCAGCATTTAAGCATTTAATCAACTAGGATTAAATTGCACTTTTTTTTTTTCCAATTCTCATGACTTTTCAGTTTTGCTTTTTTAAAATATTTTGGGGGGCAGAAGTATATATTTTGAGACTTCTGAACTTTTTTCTTGATCTGAATGGTGATACTAGAAATACTGTGGTAGTAGTTGTTTCTTCTGTGTTGAAGCACGTTTTGAATTTATGGAATGCATTTAATGGAACATTTTTCATTGAAGTTACTGTTTCTCACTCCAGTCATATGTCTAATTCTACTTTAACGCATTATCAATTATGATACCTTTCTACTGCAGCACATAAATTATATAGCAATCAGTGAAACATGAAAACATTCACTATGACAAGCCTCTATGGGAAATTATACTTGATAGAGTGAGTTTTACCTATTGATTTAACTGTGTTCAGCCTTTCCATAATTTTTATTCTTTTAAAAATATTTCTCAAAAGTTATTGAATACAAAATGATAATATTCACGTGACTAGGAAGGATGAACTGATTAAACACAAAGTACTTGTGATGAAAAAGTTATGTGAATGAGAGAGCTAAAACTAGATCTAGATGTACAGTTCAACTTGATGAGTCACTAAACACTGTTTTCTTTTTACAGATTTCTTTCGGTGCTGATTTGTTTAATATTCAGTGTACTGTCTACTATAGAGCACTATTCTGAATTTGCCACTGGAACCCTTTTCTGGATGGTAAGTGAACGTTTTTGGGAAAGACTCTAGTCAGTTTGACTAAATCTAAGTTGCTTTAGGTGAACAAAGCAGGTAACTGTTAAAAATCCTCATGCAAAGCATGCTACCAGGACATTTAAAATATTACCTGCTTTCATTAAAGGAAGGTCATAGTCTAGTGGGAACAATTATTTTCTAGATCTGTAAACTATGAGGGTACTTGATAGATTAAACAGTTTTTATATACTTGTCATAAGGTATGAAACTGTACCCTGTGGCTCTTACAGTGGACAACTGGTATTCATCAGTCTTATGCAGTGTGGAACAGAAATGTATTTTTAAAACGTATCTTTTCTAAGTCTTATGGTAAAAAATGGCCAAGAACCATGGTCTTCAGAAGTACGTGAATCTTTGGGGTTAAGCGATTTGTGTCAAACTAGTTTGCCAGTATATAGAACAGGAAGGAAGAGCTTCTATCACACTTTTATACATCAGTGATTTGGCTTTGAAGTTGACTGTAGATTCACTTGCTTTAACTGTTGTGGCTGTTAGCAATCCACTGGGATCTCAGGTTCTTCTTGAGCATACATTAAGTTTTGTACTTGGTATTTCTAAAAGCATAACGACATTGTGTTTCGTATATAATATAATTTTCTTTCAATTAGGATCTTAAGTAGTATCTTAAACAACTATTGTTGTTATAGAAAAACCTGCTCACTTGGAGGTATACAGAGGTTTCTTATTGTTTTCACAGTAGTAAATTTTTTTATCACTGGATTGAGTGCCTAATTTATAGATGAGATGTGAACTATGTTACCAGTCCTGAGCTATTAAGTTTCTTAAAAATGTGAAATCACATCCAGCAACCATCTATAACTGTTGCAACATGCATACACTATTTTAAGTGTTAATCTGAAGCAGATAGGAAATAAAAGTACAAATAATTTGCATGAGGACTCTAGACAATATTCCTCCTCAGTTCCCCCCTGCCCCTCTTCACCTGTAGAAAGTTAAGAATGGAGGTGGAGCATCTTTGATAAAAAATTAGTAAATCACTTTTAAACAGTTGCTCACAATATCTATATTTTAGCCACTCAAATCCTCTGATCTCAATGTGTGATAATCTCAGTATTCTTATTGTAATTTCTTTTTGCTAAGTGGTGACTTCTAATGTGATGCATTTTGGTTTTCCATCTGGTTTGAAAATAAAAATCAGTTACTTATTTGTTTTCCTATGGCTTAGACTACATTAGTATATGCAGCTTTTGCATGCAGTTGACTAAACCATCATTAGGATCTCTGAGTTATTTTGGAATTTTGATCAATGCTAATCCTGTAACAAATGTTGCTTGGCCTTTAAGCCATATTCAGTGTCAAAGAAAGTGCAATATTCTGCCAATCATATGTAGTCTTCTGGTACTCACTGAAAGATGTAGAGTGATTATAGGTCAATATAACCACCACCCAAAACAGTAATACTGGCAAGGATTTAATGCTTAGCTGATTTTTTTTTGTGTAGACGGTATGTGCATGTTATTGTTGGACAAAAAATAACTAGATGAAGACAGATTTGTGGCTTACGTAGTGCCCACATAGTATTGCCAGCTATTTTTAAGTGATGTTATCATCTACCAAGTGAATTGTGCATAGTCAGTGGCAGTGCTGGAACAATTTCTTGAGCACCTTGTGTTTCAACCTTACCCTGGAGGATACCTCTCTTATTTTCCTCCCTGCTGTTTCCTTAGCTTTCTTCCTAGAAATGGCCAGCACAGAGGTTAGCTGTTCTGCTGGCTACTGTAGATTCACTTGCTTAGAAAGCATTTGTCTTAAAACTGTGAGTCTTAAAGTTTGCTCTGAAATAAATTCACTTCAATTACAACACTTGAAAGATTGCTTTTAGAGCTAATTAATTTAGTTCTTTTTCATAGAGTTGTGAGGTTTCTTCTTTCTAGTAGCTAAATGATTAGAATTCTGCTTGAAGCACTTCTCCCCACCTTTACCTGAAGGAATTTCAAACTGCATCTCCCATTTTATCCAGGAGAGTTCTCACTCCACAGAAGCCTGGAGATCATTGCTGTCTTTACTCTGTAATAGGTCATTACTCTAATTTACTTCATACCATGGTCAACTGTTCACGTAACCAGAGAGAGTTTCTCTCACCAAAATGTGAAAACACATGCATATGTATTCTACCTTCCATGCCACTCTGCTCTCTTGAAAGTGTTTGAGAACAGTGGAGACTGCCAGTATGGTGAGAAACAAAATTGGGTCAAAACAGCTATTGGATCAAGTTCAAAATGAAATCCATTTGTTTCTCTCCTTGAATTGAAGGAACGTGTAATTCTTGAATAGCCCTGTTAGTGTTTCAGTAGCAAATAAATACTAGTATGTGATGCTTGTGGTATTTTCCCACTTGTGGAAAAACTGCTATTCATTATATTGAGGTAGATTAACAGATGGAAAGGATCAACTGCAAAATTCTAATGTTGAAAGTTGGTAAGGTCTGACAAGAAGGGTGGCATTTGATACTTGTAGACACTTAAATGTTTTTGTATTTTCTTAGAGAGGGTTAGATGATGTGCCAAATACAATTTTGGATAATATATGTCACTGGCATAGATATGGCACATGAGTAACAGATGTAACTGCAGATGTGTCCTAAGCCACTACAGTCTTGTATTTTAAAGACTTAATTTTTTAATGTTCTTAATACAGCTGGGTGGTGTAAGATAATGTCAAGTGTGAAACCTATCATCATTCAGACAAGCTATGTGAATACACCAAAGAGAGAATATCATATCAAGAAGGCCGTTCAAAGCAGTGTTGGTAGTTTGAATGGAAAAAGGAGGCTGAAGAAGCAGTTCCTGGAACGTAAAGTAAAAAAAGCTCCAAACTCTTACTCTCCTCCCTCTGCCCCTCAAGCATATGTTTTCAAGTCTCTGAAAATTCAAGTGAATTCTAGAGGAAAAAAATATGACTCTTTACAACTCAACTTTACTCTCAACAACATGGATTGTTGGATCTTTGGCCCTGCATTTGAATGTTAAACCAATATGTCAGACTATTGAAGATGCTGCATAGCCACAGCTTCTGACACAGGCTGCTTCTGTGCCTCCCCAAATACCATAAATTGCTCTATTTGATGTCCTTGCTTGGGCTTAAAGGAAACTTCTGTTCTTTGCATTTATGAAGAAAAGTCAACATGTAAATCTCCATCTGATCATCATTGTGGTAAAATCAGTTTACTTCTGTGGTGGTAGGACTGGTGAAATTGCTTGTCTTGAACTTGCAAATGCTGTCATTTGAAGGAGGTTTTTGATCTCATAGTACCAAATATTTTGTGTTTTCACTGCCACTCTTGAGAGGGTTTTTGCCAACTCTGTCTGAGATGGAAAAATTAAATTAGATTATCTATATACATACATTGCATAATCTGTGTTAATTCCTGGTAGTTTTTTTTTTTCTCCTATGACTATCTAGCAAGCCAGCAAATGAGAGAAGTGGCATTGGCACAATGAATCATGCTGATAAACACTGACAGAATATATAGTGAAGAACATAATTCCACCTGAATTTTTTATAACTGCAGAGAGAAGCTTAGAGTTTCAAACGGTGTTTAAAATGGATCACAAGATTTCTAGGGAGACCAACAATGTACATGTTATTTCACATTCCACAATGCTTAAATGCACTTGTAGTTGTTTTTTATTCAGAATGCTACACGTGGTGTGGTATGAAAAGGAATCTCTAGTTTCCCTCACTTTCCTTGGTCCTGGTTCTTTAGTGTTGGGAGCTTTTTCACTTGTCTATCCATCAGTTTTTATTTAGTTCTTGTACAATGTCTGGGGAACCAAGCACAATGGAACAGGCCCTATGATGGCCCTATGTGGAACTTGCTCCAGTTTATCAGTCTTGTACTGGTAGGAAAGAAACAGATGAAGTCTTCTAGGTGCAGTCTACTGAGTGCTAAGTAGAGGGAGTAATCACTTCCCTTGTTCTCCTGTTTTTAGCTTTCATCACTTCCTTGCATTTGGAGGAGGTTTTCTTTAAAGACCTGCTAGCTATCCTGAGCTTGTTGACCCTTCAGAACTGTCTTCTGTGGGATCCCACCTATCACTTTCCTGACTAATTGGAAGTTTGCTCTCCTGAAGTGTAGGGTCTGTACTCCCTTCAGGATCTTGAATTACATTATTTGTTTGATGCTACATCCAAGGCATTGCCATTGATTATTATATCCCCAACTAATTTCTGCTTGTATATCTGAACAGCAGATCCAGCTGTGATTCATTCACAGTTGCCCACTTAATACCTGTATCTGAAAGTTACTCCTGAAACACTCCAGAAATCTCTCAGATTGCTTGCATCTCACAGTGTTGCTCTTCGAATAGCTGCTAGCTGAATTAAAATCCTCTATAAGAACCAGGGCATGATCTGGAAACTTTCTTGAGTTGTTTAAAGAAGACTTTGTCTGCCTTCTTATCCTGATCACGTGGTCTGTGACAAACTTCCACCATGACGTCACCTTTAGTGGCCTGTTGTCAGATCCTGATTTGGTGCACTAAGTGCTTAATACCTGACTTCTTGAAGAAGTCTGTCATGCCTCTTTTAAGAAGTCCCCTGTCTGATGTCCCTGGTCTTCCAGCATCTCATACCCTAAATACTGGAGCAGGTACTCTCTCAAGAAATCCTCCATTTTGATCACCAAAACAAATTGGCAGCATACAGAGCCAAAAGAGCAGTGTGAGGGGTGACTACAGGCAGGTCTGTAACAGGGACTGCTGAAAAGAGAGAACTTATTATATTGTATACTAAAAACAAGTTTCTAAAATAATCCTGCCCAGGGTGGTGTTTATGAACTTGAAATACAGCCTCACAAATTATCATGCCATGCCTGAGTACCAGAGGGTGGGTAACCAGGGTCTATGGTATGTTTTAAGAGTAACGATTTGAGGGTAGGGGAGGGAATGTGGCTTTCTTGCCTTTTTGTGGACCACATGGTAAAGCCTGTTCCCGACAGGCAT